TTCAATAATCTGGCAATGACTGGGTAGCTGGATGGATCTTATATGGCAGGAGGAGCAGGTGTGGTGAATTAGGTAGATGACGGAACAGGTGGAATGAATGGAGCTGATGAGATGCGGGCTGTTGTCGCTGTGGCAACAGGTCTTCGGCAGGAACAGGATCATGACAGCATGACCACACAGCTGTGGATCGATCGTTTGCTGTGGATGACATGGTTCACCTAAGGAACACAGGAGGTGGAAGTCACAAGTGGATTCCTGGACAAGTGGTGAGACAGACTGGTCCAGTGTCCTTTGAAGTCAGAGAGCGTGACACAGACGCTGTACACCGCATCATAGTGACCAGCTGCGTGCCAGAACAGTAGCCGAAAGGGAGACTGAAACTTTGGAACCACCGTTGGCTGAGGTGGAGGAAGATCTTGCCGTACAGGTGGATAACGCAGTTCCGAGCTGTGAGAGTGACTCTTCTGTTAGACCCAGCTCCGTGATTAATGTGAGGCGTTCGGTACGACCTCGCAAACCTCCCAAACGTTATTTAGAATAATCTTGATGATTGTGGAGTTGTTTTTGTGTTCACTCGTTATTTTAGTTGTACACGCCTGGGTACACTGAGCAAGTGTTAAATTCATGTTTGAAACTTGAAGTGAACTAAAAAATACTCACCTGCTGAGTTCAACATCTTCTTGAACAAAGCCTGCCCCGATGCTCGAGAGCGAGGGACCCTCATCTATGTCGACGACATTCTTGTTCGTCAGCGTACATTAGATGATCACCTGTCCGACCTGGACCATGTCATGGGTCAGCTCGCGGCGGCGGGTGCAAAGATCTCTCTCGCCAAAGGACAGTGGTGCAGGTCGCAAGTTCAGTACGTTGGCCTCCTGGTGGGACCACAGGGAGTGCAGCCTCAACTTGGCAGAATTCAGGGCATTGCCACCATCACCCCTCCGACAAACGTCTCCGAACTTCGGAGCTTCTTGGGGGTCTGCAACTACTCGCGTCAGTTCGTGGAACATTACGCGGGCATAGCACGACCTCTGACTAATCTGTTGAAGAAGGATGTGGCGTTCGAGTGGGCAGAGCAGCACCAGCAGGCCATGGATGACCTGAAGGCCGCAATGTGCTCGGCTCCGTGCTTGGCGCTCCCCGACTGTGACAAGGTGTTCCACCTTGAGGTTGGTTTCTCAGCTCACTGTTCGAGTGCTGGTCTCTACCTGATCTAACACGGGAGGTTCTAGGTCTACCTAATTTAGTTGCAGGTTTTGTAACTGTTTTTTGGGGGGGGGGGGGGGGGGTTCATTTTAAAAAGGGGGATGATGTGGTGTATTTTCCCCCCTGCACGCTCTGCAGTTGGTACGGTCCTCTGCCCGGTAGTTGGCGCTGTATGTTTTTCCAGAACGAGAAATAAAACACGCTCTGTTAGACTGTCTCCTTTTCACTATTTAAATGAAGACACCACAGTATCTTATCGGAGCATGCTAAAAAATATCCATAAACCATTTAAGCAGCAGACATGCATCTTTTAAAGCAACCTGATCCAAGCCATCATTTTAAGTCATTCTGAGGCCCTGTCCACACGTAGCCGGGGATCTGCCAAAACGTAGATATTTTTCTACGTTTTGGCCTGTCATCCACACGAAAACTGATCTTTTTAAAAATTACGGCCAAAGTGAAGATCTGCGTTTTCTCCGTTTTGGGTGTCTGCGTGTGGACGGACAAAACCGGAGTTTTAAGGTCCGCAACGTCACTTTCCGCGACAAAAAAATGCTGATATCACGTGTGCGACCTGTGTTTACACTAGCCGACAGCATGGATGCCCTCAGAGCTGCGCTCGCTTTATCAATCGTCCAAGCGCTTTCTGCTTGTTTGTTTTTGCAAGCGGAATTACTGCTCCTTGCGGAAGACCACAGACGAAGGACGAGGTTAAGAACGGGGGAAGTACTGCCGCCTACAGGTCTGGCATGTCCTTAACAACGTATTTATCCGGCTACGTGTGGACTAGGCCTTAGTGCATGTGAAACAATAATTTCAGAACGTCACATTCTCGGAGCTTCAGACCAACAAGCTGTCTAAAACCTGGCAAAAGATTGTAAAATTGGCTTTAAAGAACTGATAACATGCACTCATAGCTGAATAAACAAAACAGATGCCAGTCAGTAAACATTTTTGAAAAAAATAAATAAATCGAAAAACTCATAATTCATCACTTATTTATCTGCTGGGAGAAAATATGTCACTTCCCATCAAAAATAACTTGCTGGTTGAATCAAAGTAAAATATCGTATCACAGTATCGTACCCTAAGGGGTATGAATGATTATGGGCAGAACTGTATGTCGATGGTTTAAACAAGCAACAGCAAAGTCAGACCTGTGAAAAGGTGCAATGCCAAACTTTATTTTGCATCATTAATAGGACACAGAACACTGAAATGTATCTTTGTTCATCATACTGGAATCTAGATAACATTTTACAGTCTTATAATACGTCTGACAACATGAGAGGAGTATGAACACAGATGGCGTTCCTGGGTTTGATGCTGCAGACACCAAACAGCAGTCACGTACAGTACATGAGACATGAGAGGAATCCTACGCTCACTGAAAACAAAAAAAAAACTTCAAAAGTTTTGTTTTAATAAACCAGAAACAAAACACGTGTTGGAGGCGGCAGGTCCAAGGCGATAAATCAGGAGCACCACAGTGCCTTCCTCCTTTATACCAATATGAAGTCATAGCATCTCAACTTTTTTGGCACCTTTGTTCTTTATTACCTCAAGTTCTGTAAGTCTGTTAGTGTACCGAGACAAAATGATTAAGGGTTAATTTTATTTCTGTGTTTAAAATGAACTTTGTATCACAGCAGAGTTGTGTTGAGACATTGAACAGCTGTATACAGATGTGTTAATGAATGCAACTGTTCTGGATTCAGATTAGGGATCGTCTTGGTAAGAAAACACACAATCACCCAAAAGTCTCCTATTCCTCTGACTGAGTGAGACTCGTGACTAGAACCACCTCTGAGTGTTCGTTTAAAAGGTCTCTGCATGAAGCTTAACAAATCATGAGCTAAACGTCTTTTAATAAAGACAGAAGTCAACAGTTGACAGATCTCCATTTAAATATGTGCAAACATAGACAAACTGTAATGCTTTTGCTCTTTTCATGTGGAAACGGAAGATTTATAGTTATGTTATTTCATTCATAGTTGCCTTGGTAAAGCCACTAATGTGCACAAGAAAAAAGTAAACTAAAACTTGATCCTCTGTCAGTGTTTTACAAAACATATAAAAAATGGATTAAACTGCTCAGAAGAAAAGAAAACGTGGAGGAAGACATTCAGAGCTCTAGTTACTCGTGTCTGGAGCAGAACACACCTTGTGGTTCAGGCTGTAGTTTGAGTTTTACTGGCGAACAAACAATCAGTTTAGATGTTTTGAAAATATTCTCGGAAACACCTGCTTAGTTTGAGGCTTTTATTGTGAAGGTTTGAATGGGTCATTTTCTTGAGCAATTTGGCTCTTTCCATCTCCAGCGTGGTAGCGGAGTGTGGATTCAGCATGGATGAGCTTTTGGGCTGCAGCGAGTGAAATGCTCCTAATTTAGTTTCCATGTTACTGGGGCTGGGGCACTCCGGTCAGCCGGTTTGGACTAAATATGATTTCAAATGGATGGAAATGTAATGGTACTATTAATAAATGTTAATTTATCATTATTTTAGAAACTAAAGTGACCAGAAAAAATGCACCATGCAACCTTTGGCTGCGAACAAATGCACCCTCGTCAGAGTACGTCCAAATGCAGCAGCGGTTCATTTTCTGACTCATAGAAGAAAGCATGGACGTAATTTTGGGGGGGACATGTCCCCCCTGTCCCCCCCCACTTTTTCCAAAGTCAAGTTTTGACCCCTGCACTTTTTACCATCCAAAAACAATATTACGCTATATTAAATTGACACTGGTTGAGCTCTAGGACCAAGCAGAAAACAACCGTTTGTGTTGAAGCCTGTTTCCCATTAGAGCATACTGTAAAGATCCCCCCAACCCCACCCAACCCCCGTGTCCCCCCCACTTCTAAAGTGAAAATTACGTCCATGGAAGAAAGAAAGGCAGTAGCTTTTGTTCAGAAAAGAAAAACATTTTATTCAAACAAAATCCCACAGCGACACCGCAGCGAAACATAGAGGAGGCTCTTTTTAATACCATAACCGTGTTTAGCACGGCTGTTCGTACGTCTTACACCCGACTAAACAAACACAAAGTTAAACAAAAATTCTCATCCATTGAACATGTGCACCGTGCTTTCGTTACGCAAATACGCTCGGACTTCTTGTGTGTTGGGCATGATTACATTGCTCAAATATGTCATCCATCATCATTTATTGGACTGATGAACGACCCTAGCGGGGAACGTCCCAGTCCCAGTCGGGCCGAACATCTACTGAGGGGCTGCTGGAAATGCCTCAGATGCCCGGAGATATCCGATCAGGATCAGAAAGTGTAGCAAGTCCTCCTGCTGAGGCAAAACAAGATTCAAACTAAAACAAATGTAATTATGACTGAATTTTATTTTAGTTGAGGAAGACATGTCACAGAAGTCTGATATTAAAATTTGCACCTTATTTAAATAATGCAGACCTTTGGTTCCATTTCTGAATATCGATATTAAACATCAGCTGATTCAGATCCCATCTAAAGCTTTTCTAACGGCGCAGAGGGATGGCCAGTTTGTTACGTTTGTCCTAATCTCCACGTTAGCTGCTGCTCGTCAAGTAATGTTGATTTTTACAGAAAGAAAGTCTGAAAAAGGACAGAATAAATACAACTAAACTTTTTCTCCCCACAGTGTGTGTGTGTGTGCGTGCGTGTGCGTGTGTGTGTGTTGATGGCTGTTCATTCTGTGTGTCTCTGTAATGCCCTGCGATGGACTGGCAACCTGTCCAGGGTGTACCCCACCCCTGAGACCGCTGGAGATGGGTGCTAGTCCCCCCCCCCCCCCCCCCCCCCAAGCGACCCTGAATGGGCAAGCAGGTATAGAAAAAGGATGAACATGTCAAATATTTGGTACTAGAAGAAACTAATGATCTGGACCAATGAATTCCTGCAAAACCTGCCTCCAACCATTTTCACCCCAACCCCCATCCACAAATGACTTTTGTTGTTTAACGTTTAAAAGTAATCAAATTACTTGTAATTTTTATTAACATATTTCAGGCTAGTATTTTTACATTCTTTTTTCCTTCATTTTGCTGCACAACCCATAATTATTTATTGAATCCCGAATCGAAACAGGAAAAATCTCTGTTTCGTGAAGGTTTGAATGATTAACATTTCAACATCAAACACTAGAATTAAACATCGAGGTTGCTGTGGACTCGGAGTCGCTGACTCGTCAGTACGTAGACTCGGAGTCACTGACTCGTCAGTATGTCAGTGAAATTCGTTAATGCCTTTTGATGATGTTACATGTGAAAACGTCTCGTTTCATTCTGCAACGGGACAGATGATTACTGGAGCTTCGTTCTGTCCTGATTTGTTGGTGCAGGGGCTGAAGAATGGATGAACGGTGTCTAGAAAGCTGCCAGTGAAGGAGTAGATGAGCAGTTTGGCCTCAACGTTGTAGAACGACACCAGACCTTTGTCACAGTCCACGTAGATCCCAATACGAGAAGGTCTGATGTTGATCATCAGGTTGTTAGAAGGAACTCCTCTAAATGCGTAGTCAGTCCGATCCCTCAGGCTGAGGATCCAGTAACCATGGGTGGGGCTTACAGTGATTTTGCCCTTCCTGTTAACAGAGCGTCGAGCGAGTCCCAGGTCCCAGTCCGTCTTTCCTGCAACGTTCACCTAAGATGACAGAAGCGAACAGATTACTCCAACTCTGGCATGGCAAACCCTTGCCCTTGAGGGCCACCATCCTGCAGGTTTTAGTTGTTTCCATGCAACACGTCAGATTCAATCACCTGTTCAGCAGCTCATCAAGCTCTGCAACTGCTAACCACCTGCTCTTTAAACTCAGGTGTGTTGAAGCAGACAAACAACTAAAACATGCCAGATCGCGGACCTGGAGGGACCAGGGTTCCCCACCCATGCTCTAACTGGTCCAGTCATTGACGGGTTGTTGATTTGGACGCAGGCTCCATCCATGTCAGGTGCTGTCGTTGGGCAAGTCAAATAGCTTGATTCAGGTGAACCAGTGCATATCACCACCTTAAATCACGTATCTTCCATGCTTCACCCGTGAAAACATTTGTTTAATTAAATCAAACATACAAGCCACAGGACTCAATCAGGTAAAACTACACATTCATGCACAACTGTTCACATCTGGCAGCTCACCTACCTCCCAGTAATGCCGCCCTGAGCTGAAGCCCTGATGAGCTAGCACACACACCACCCGATCAAATCGCTCTGGGTTGTCTGGTACCAGCTGGTGGCGCTCGCCACAGTGGACCTGCTTCCCATCAGCTGAGATGATGAGGCGTGCATGAGCGGTGCTGGGGTCCAGGGTGATGTCAGCTGAAAGAATGGAAAGAAAACTGTGAATGATGTTTCTACTGTGAAGTCAACCTGAGCTAGCACGTTGAGCTCCAGAGGGGCGTGGCTTTCTCACCTGCCAATGGAAACGCTTCACACAGTTTTGGCATTCTGCTTAAATCGAGTCAACAGCGTATGTTGAGTCGTGGCACAATGTTCCTGACTGAACCGTGTTTGGGGGCAGGCGCGTTGCAAGATTTTCAAAAGTGTGGGGGATGTTGTCTGTGCCTAAAATAAGTTCATGTTATTCATCTTGTTAGTGTAATTTCCATAATAGAGGAGCCTAGCGGCTGTGATGCACATTTAACGCATTTGGAGAGGTGGGCTGGATGCTTTGCTTTTACTGGAAGATTAATTTTATTTATTTTTTTTTTCAAAAATTTGGAGATTTTGCTCCATGAATAACGTAAAAACTACTGGTGTGCATGTGCCCTTATGAAAGACTCCTACGTTGAGAGGTAAATATTAGAAGTGCAGGTAATGCATTCTGGTGCCTATAAAGGAAAAATGAATGAAAATTAAATTGTGAGTTTTTACTTCATATTTTAGAAATAAAAATGACGGGGAACACATTTATGACGTCTTTTTAAACGAAATTTTCTAGCGTGACCTGCCTGCTTCACTAAGCCGCTGCTTATTAAGATCCGTCCAAAATTACCGTGGCCCACCCAAAAATGAAAACCTGGCGCCACGCCTGTCATAAACCTCTGCAAATTGTCGTTCTTCACTTTATCAAACTCAGACTTTGTACAGCTAATGTCAAGATGTAAAATTATGAATTCAGTCGAGCTCTTCCCTCCCTCTGCTGTTTCTCCTTGAAACCCGACATCGGCTGTCGGGTTTCAAGGAGAAACAGCAGAGCGAGGGGAAGAAGGAGATGAGGCAAACAGAGCGAGTGCGAGAAACCAGACTGGTGTGGAGGAGAGCAAAACGGCTGGAAAAGTGTGGCTGTTGAATCCCCCACATCCCCCACGGGTGCGACGCCCATGTTTGGGGGGAAGGGCTAATGAAGACCAATAATAAAAGGTAATTTATTTTAGCTTCTTACCTGCATATTCCTGAACCCGTCTGACTTCTGCAAGGGAAATACAATTAAAATAGTTTTCTTATGATTTCTGGCTTTGTTGTTTGGATGATATGAGTCTTACTTGGGCTGGGCCTGGGGGATGGCATAGGAGGGGTTGATCGCCGGCCTGTCAATAACAGAAAATAAATCCTAAAGCTCGCAATAATAAAACTCATTTTGATGTTTAAAAATATTTCTAAGGAGGTATATGTTGCTGTTTGTTTTCACTATCTTAGAACAATCCTTTTGGCCCCTTTTAGTTCCAGTTCATGCTATTTTAAACCTTTGAGAACAATTTCATTTCCCTTCGTTTCACTTTTTTTTTAAAGCCCCTTCCGAAACCTTATCGGATGACCAAGGTGCTGAGCAATACAAGAAGCAATAAGAAACGTGTGTAAAAACAGTATATAAACAATCATTCAACACAACAAAAAGACCACACTATGACATCTGCTGTTGGAAAGCCACAACGTCAAAATGCATCCTCAGCAAAGAGAGTGACTGGCACCTGGTTAAAGGCTCATTCCACAGCCTCGGAGCCAACACTGAGAATGCATTTTCTGGTCGGAGCCGGGACCGAACCTGCAACTTTCTGATTACTGGAGAACCTGTTCAACCTCCTGAGCTGCTGTCCCTGACTGATGCAGCACAAACCCATACCGTTGAATATATTAGCTTAGGGAAATGGGCAGAGTTGAAGGAAAGAAGATGCCGAGACAAATAAATGCATATGTGATGCCAAAATATGGGGTGCCATTTGTAAAGTCAAACAGTCATAATCTAACAGCAATATTTTTGGTTATTTAGCATATCATAAGAGAAAAATTGGGAGTTTTAATTTACTAATTAAATATTTATTTTGGAACTAAATATTTAATTTGTAAATTAAATATTTGATTTGTAAATTAAATATTTATTTCCGAAAAAAATATTTAGATCCCAGCTAAATATTTATTTGGGAAATAAACATTTAGTTTGCAAAATCAGTATTTGGGAAATAAATATTTAAGTCTGACCCAAAAATATAATATAAAAATATATTTCCCAAATACTGATTTTGCAAACTAAATGTTTAGCTCCAAAATAAATATTTAGTTGGGATCTAAATATTTATTTCGGAAAATAAATATTTAATTTACAAATTTTATATTTAGTTCCAAAATAAATATTTAATTAGTAAATTAAATATTTAGTTAGTGAATTAAATATTTATTTTACAAACTAAATATTTAGATCAGACCTAAATATTTAGTTTGCAAAATAAATATTTAACTACAAATTAAATATTTAGCTTGCTAACTAAATATTTATTTGGAAACTTTAACATTTATAAATGTATGAATAACATGATGAAAATATGACTTCGAAAAAGTGAACTCCCAATTTTTTCTCTCATGATATGCTAAATAACCAAAAATATTGCTGTTAGATTATGACTGTTTGACTTTACAAATGGCACCCCATACCAAAACCACCTTGGGGGGTTGTTCATGAGGAAATAACAATATAACATGATTAAAGCTCCAAAAATGGATTTTGCATGATATAGGACCTTTAACTGAATAACTTTAATTTACTAACTTGTGTTGATAAAACAACTATATAATAAACTGCTCTATTTTATTCATTCTACAACACAACATAAACGCAGATAAAATGTGTCCTTCAGATCCTCCACCAGGGGGCAGTAGACGCATAAAAGAGTGGATTTTGCAGGTTTCTGCTGAAGGAACTAATCCCGAGTCTCCATCTGGATGTTTTAAGGCCACAGGTGGTTTGATAGCCTTGCAAGTCATCATATGAGAATATATTGTCTGACCACGACCCACAGAGCTCAGTCGTGTTGTTTTGTTCAGTCGCAGTAACATCCCACCTCACTGGTGGAGCTCTGTGATTGGCCCACCAGACCAATAGAGTGCTGTGACTGGTAAGACCAAGACTGTTGGGCCTGCTGAAGACTATGGAAAGCAGATAGACTGACCTGCAAAGCAAAATCCTTTGTCTTCTGCTGCGGTCTGTCTAGATTTCCTGACACCTGGTTTGATGCTGATTTACAACACTGCTGCACAGGGCAAACTGTCCTTTCCAATTTCCTTGAGTTTGAACTTACAGACTTCTGTCAGTTTCTCAATCTCTTCCTCGAGGCGTTCCATCGTCTGATTGACACTGCTGAGAAGCACCCCTGAGGTCAGCTGAGATGGCACAGAGACATTGGACCAGTCCTTGGCCTGTGGGGGGGTGGACAGAGTAGGGAACATCTGCAGGGAAAGAAAAGGCAAAGATAGTGTTCTTCAGAGCCTGGCGATGAAGTTTGTGGGATGTGAGTGTGTTGCCATGTACAGTAAACTCAGATTCACTTGCATTTTCAATAAAAAAGAAGCTATTGCATAGAAAAACCTTTCTTTGGTGAACCAGAAAAGACCCAGGAGCAGAGTTCGAGTAACGAGGGAGCGGGGGTGGGGGGGTGGGGTGGGGGGGCTTCCTCGACTGGGTGATGGGCCTCCTTGGAAGCGCTCAACTGACACAAAGGGGAGCCCAAAAACGAGCCAGTTTCAACTTGCATTACATCATTCGGCGATCCAGTACTTCTGTTGAGCTCATCATGTATACCTTCAGCCCCACCCCCACACCCCCATCTCACAGCGATTTAGCAGAGGTGATTGGATGGACGACTCCTTTCCCAGCTCTTATGGAGGTGATCGGACCGACCCCCCACCACCACCCCCAGAAGCCTCTGTGTGATGAGAACCTGAGGAAATCAAATATTGCAGACCTCTTCCAATGATCTTCTTTTTTTGGCCCCACAGAAAATCATCAAATCAGGTCTTATGAGGCAAGAAGCTTGAAAGGTACTCATCAGCTCCACAAGGGAGAGACGCACACGCACTGAAGGAGACGTTTTGCTCCCGGACTTCCCGTCTCCTGGGGACTGTTGCAATGCAATTCCCCGCCAGGACAACAGAGGGCGTAGCTCTTTCTGTGCTATCATGGCACGTATCCGGTCCATGATAGTGGATTTACTAACGTGTTTATGTATTTCAGACACTTTATAACATGGACAAATTTGTCCTTCATTCTCCTCCGCCTCATCGTGCGGTCGCCACCTCCAAACCCACGTTTATCATCGTTTCCGTCCTTAAATTAAACGTTTGCTCCATGTGTGCTCCTTCAGTCACGGGTGAGTAAACGTTCATATTTTCGGACTTCTACCTGGATGCGTTCTGTTCCGCGTCTGACGCTAAATATCTTTTTACTTTTTAACGGGGGAATGGCGGTGCTGTTGACGGATTTACAGGAAGTGACATCCCGACCAATCACAAACTTGCGGGCTCCGCACCGCGGTCACATTCGATGGATAGTTAAAAAAGTTGGACATGTCTCCGTCACCCTCTGAGCCTGTCGGAGAGCCCTTGCGTCGACACATAACGGCGTTGCCTGTCTGCACCGACGCAGATGGAGAAGTAGAAATCAGCCCTTGCAGAAGTTGAGCTTTAAAACTGTTTTTCCAGAACTGCGCTGCTCTGGGCGGCTGCATGTTGGAGTAGCTCTGTTGACTATATGTAAGTTTTGCCTTTTCTTGGGCATTTTTTCTTCTAGTTTCTCAAGAAAAACTGTATTTTTGGACATTTTACTTTTCTGTTTCTGGTGCTGTGAAGCTTGGAGGATTTTTACTGCTATTTTTTTAGCTTTTTTTCATTTTTTGAGCGTTTGTTATGATGCGTAACCATGGCAACAAGCTGGTTTACAATCGGGAGCAGCTGATTAACATTGGGAAGGCTGAAATAATACCTCAACTGAAGCCACAAATCCCAAATGAGCTAAAACGCAAGAAGCGTGGGTGCAGAGCGGGAGCAAAACGGAGACAGAGAAAGAAGAAATTCAAACCATCTCTTCCATCGATCATAATGGGCAATGTGAGATCACTGGCCAACAAGATGGAGGAACTCCAAGCCCTTTCAAGGACTCAGGCAGAGTTTCGGCAGTTTCGGAACCGCTGGAGGAGATCATGCAAAGAAGGATTCTCCAGAGAATCAAGAAAATGATGGACAACCCTGAGCGTTCTCTTCACAAGACTGTCCGACAACGGAAGATTGTCTTCAGTCAGAGGCTTCTTCAGTTTGGCTGCAACACTGACCGCTACTGGAGATCCTTCCTGCCAACAGCCGTTGTAATATACAACAACTCTTTGATGACTTGATTATAATTATTATTCTGAGCTACTACAGCAATCAGTTTCCCTCTGGGATTAATAAAGTCTTTTTGAATTGAATTGTTTCATTTTAATAGATTAAACTTCATATAATGACATTAAAACACTCCTGAACAGATGAGCACTGCACATACGTCACTTCTACAGGTCTGGTCAGGACTGTGTTCCACCATCTGAGTACCTTGAGGAAGAGAATGTAGTCTTCAGACACAGCCAGCTGGCTCAGGGTCCGCCTCCTCTTATTCAGAGCAGCTATCTCCTCCTCCAGCTCTCTCAGTAAACTCTGAGCTCTGTTCTCTGCAACTCGAAGACTCAAATCTATCGCCTGGTGATGAGTGCAATAAATGGTCATTTGTGTTAATGAGAGAAATGAGTGAGGGGAGTTTTGGGTGGCTCACCTCTAGGACTTGGGCCTGGCAGTGCTCCACACTGGAGATCAGCTTGGAGAAAGCACAAACAGTCCCTTCGGTTTCTCTGTCTGCAGCAGCCTGGTTAAAACAGTTCAATGGTTGGAGGTAGGCATGTTCACTAAAGGGTTTCTAACAGAATCACAAACTTATGCCCACGTTATTATTGGTCACAGATTTGTAAATATCGGGTAAAAAGCACTGGCTGGCTCCGCCTTCCTGCAGGTAAACTGTGTGCAGGTGACGCAGGTGTTGGAGGGGAAATC